GTTCGCTGACAATAATTGGTCACACAACATCAATGGGGTTTAAAATGAGGGTTTATGTTTTGAGAAAACTTCACGCACACCCCTGTAAATTGTTCTAATTTCAAGCACATCCCTCATATTATCTGAAACTCTAATGCTTCCTTTGTTCTTTATGTACCCGTTCTCTTCACATCCTTTCCCACCACTCAGGATTTATGTATTGGTGTTGGAGCAAATAGCATAATAGTTTTGATTCCTGCCGTGCTAGTTCAACTGTTAACTCATTATATATATATATATATATATATACAGATATAGATGTGTAATTTAAATTGTTAACGGGAATATTAGATAAATTTTTAATTCAAATAATTGGAAAATGATAGAGATGGGGAAAGGAGACATGGTCCAGCATATTGTTCTGAATTGTCTCAACACCACTTGGTGAATAATAGAGAAAGGTCCATTTGTGTGTAACATAATATACCCCAAAAGGGGAACATCCTTTAATGGATTCATGGAACACACCAAACAAACAAGTTACACATATTTGAGGCAAGTGGTGTGGGCTGTGTGTTATACCCTCCACATCACCAATTGCCCTCATTGTCATAGACCATGACAACACAACCCACTGTCTATTCACTGCTGGCTAACCTCATATGCAGTAAATTATTGTCAAGATTTGGACCTCAGAATTTGGGATTTGCTAGCAAACTAGTGTTGTTGCCGACAAGCTTTTCTTAGTATGTGTTTAGCTTTGGTTCAATGCAATACTATCATACCAAATATTTACTTTTTAATATTACACCAAGAAAATATCATGTTTAGTAGGATAATTTTAAAGATGAAGAATGTATTATATCGAAAGTTGTAATTTTTTGCCGTTGATTTGTATATTTTTTAAGGGTGTTAGATACAATTCCAAATAGAATGGTTGATCAAAAACGTTATAACTTTTTGTAAGAAGAAGTCTCTCACCTTTTTGATGTGATTTTGGTTGGGAAAAGAATGAATAAGAGTTGCACCGTTTTACTTACAAAATGAACAAATTGTCAAAGACCGAGGGTAGGTGGGTTGGTTGGAGACACTTTGATACTTGAGCTAATAAGGTTTATGAGAGAAAGCCAAAAAGTTTGTAGGATTCGAAGTGCATACCTTTGACTCCAGCATTATTTGGTATTTATAATGTTGAGTGGTAACAACTCTGCCATGATTTTAGCTTTTGGTACACTTTTAAAATGTTAATTATTACTCTTAAACATCAAGGTTATAATTTGCGAAAAAAAAATTACTACTAATTGAAGTAATTCATGATTGATGACAATATTTTTTGATCGATCATGAATTGCCTCAAGGAGTTATAATTTCACCTTTATAGAATGTAACTTGACATTTAAAATATATAATTTTAAATATGGTACCGAAAAAGTTTTTGGATGTTGCAGTATTATCCCATGTTTCAGTTATTATATGAGATCTACCAAATGCTAGATACAGAGGTGCAAAATAGATCGATATGAATATCACGAGTTGTCCCATAATAAAACCAGTTATTGCTAATACCTTATTCTCCATTCCTTATTCAATAATTTGAGTTTGGAGAAGAAAGAGATAAAAGAGTCTTATGGAAAATGTGGTCAGAAATCCATAATAAAGTTTGACCATAATGACCGAATTTATTATCTTCATACATAAGGGTACTAGATTATCCAGTAGAAAAGATTTAAAAATCACTACAAACATTCCCTTTTCTTTTCTTTTTTATTATAATTTTTAGATTATTATATTATAACTTTTAAACTTTTCATATACAGAAAAGAAAAAGTAAGAGATAGACTAGAAAAGACTAATGTATTTTGGTTTGAGTGTAGTTAGTGGTCATAAAAATATTTAAAAAACAAAAAAATAAAATATTAAAGAAAACTTTACATGTTTTAAAAAATGATAATACAATTGTCATTATAATGCTATCCTTTGAGCATTTACTAAAAATATTATGAAGGGTGACAATTTTCTATATAATATGTTTTATGACTTAAATCCAATACAATATCAACCTAAAAATGATACAATTATTTAACATGAATAATAAATTAATTACAAAATACATCGACAAGAAAAAAAAAATCATTTAACGAACATTGTCCATAGAACATGTCTAATTTTTTCCTATACCTTGATCTAACATGATATGAATCGTTGTAACGGATTTTTGATTTGATTTTGTTGAGATATGGATCGATTGGATATTTAATTTATGAGATTCCAGATATCAACATAAACATGACATCAAGACAAGTATATGACTTGAATGAATCTAAAAAAAATGATAATAATACGATTCAAAGTTAACATCATAAAATTAAATTAGAGGAACTAAATTAACGAGTTTTTTTTTATTGTTTTCTCTAAATATCAAAATAAAAACGAAAAACATAAACGTTATTAAATGAGACCTTAAATTTACAGTTTATTCATATTATTACTTAAATTACCATTTAGGCTGAACTACTCTTTTTACTATCAAGAGTACGGTTCTTAATGTTGATAGTGAATAATTTAATTAACTGAGGGACGATATATTGAAGAAAATCTAGATCACTTTTACAACATCAAAACATCAATTTAGTTTTAGGTGCACATTAATATAAATTTTTATTTTTGAGGGTATAAATTGAGATTTTTTATATTTGAGGGTGTACACTGATACAAATTTCTATATTTAAGGGTATAAATTAAAATTTTTTATCTTTGAGAATACAAATTAAAATTTAAACGATCTTTCAGGGTACAATTTATAATTAATCCTATATTGTATACATATGTGGGGTATGTGGAATTGTGTGTGGGGCCCTTTGTTGTCGGGTTATAGTTTGACCTCGTGCGTACAGAAAAGGCTGAGCAGGCCGCACGTTGACAGCACAGGACGCAGTGTAGTGTAACAATTTCTCGTTTACAACTGTACAAGAAAACCTTAAAATTGAATTATCTTTTCATTTGCCTCACATTTATCCATATTTACATTTCCTACACCTTTATCTTTTCATTTTGGTTTTATTCGGACCACATACTGATGAGAGCGGCAATACTCCTAACCTAGTGAAAGTTTTTTTTTACAGTGGGGCCAAAATAAAACTCATTAATAATTTAAATTATTAATGTTACTATTTCTTACAAAATATCAATGCTTAATATTTTTTTATAACTATAATTTCATTTAAAGAATACCAATTGAAAGTATAATTTATATATCCCATTGTTTGAAAAAAAATCACAAATTTATTAAGATCAAACTTAGATATAAAACCAATTTAATTCAACATAAATAAATTATTCAAGCCCAATTAAATCAAAATTATTTAATCCTAAATATATTTCATGCTTGACAAATTTCAAATATTGGGTTCTAAGTCTAATTTTTTATCTACTTATTTTTCTAAAATATGAAAATACCCCTAAAGGTTTTCCTTCTATCTCTATTTTCTCATACTCAAAGACCTAACTATTAACAGTGAAATTCTAGAAGTTACAGAGTTGGTGGAATAGGGAAAATAAATTAAGCTTAAACTTTAAGCATCTTGGAAATTAGCATAAGTTAGCCTATGCCCTATGAACCCTAAGCATCTTAGGTTTTTCTACCACTAAAAAGGACTTCATAACAAGTATTGGCCTTGATACATTAATTTTTTCTCTAGGTAAAATGATCAATTCACTGTATTAATCAACCTTGCATTATGGATCAAAACTAAATGACTAGTGGCTTATACGTAATAGGCTTACACTTAATACGACTTTAAATATTTTTCGATTTGTGTACGTCGAAATTGATTAGTCTAAATGAACGATGGCGAGAGAAAAAGAGTGGAAGGAAAAAAAAGAAGAAGATCAAACCATGGACATGCCATTGGACACCTGTTGTCTACAGTGAAGTGCATTCCTCGACTTAAAAAAAAAGGTTGTATGACCAAAGTTTGATAATTTCTCGATTCTTTCTTGAAGGAATTTATGTCAATGAACATATGTCATTGTCACATGTGAGATGGATTGAATTTATTCAAAATTAAAAAAAAAAAGAAAAGAAAAAGAAAAAGTTAAAAAAAAAAAGAGAAGGAAAGAAAAGAGGAAAGGAAGAGAAATCATATGTGAAGGCCAAGTGCAAGGTTTTCCAAGAATTGAGGGGCTCTAATCAAATTCAAAAAAAATATGAGGGCATCATTGCAAAAGAAAGAAAATTCTAAAGGACACCCTTTGAATCCAATTTCCTTATGGTAATAGTACACAGACTTAAAAAATAGATTTAAAAATTAGATTTGATAATTTCAATTATTGAATAGATAATGAGTCCCAATAAATATTGAAATTTATAATAAAATTAATAGTTAAAATTATCAATATAATTTTTAAATCAACTATTTAAGTCGACATAGCGTTACATTTTTCTTATTGGTTCTTATTTGGTCTGATTGAGACGCTAAAAATGGCAAAGAAACCATACCATTACCACCTCCACCATCTCTCTCAACCTTCCATTTGTTAGGTCTGTCAGTAGTTTTAGGAGCCAAGCCCGGAGACAGAGAACAATGTGGGTGTTGAATCTCTGGTTCACACCACATCAATCAAAGAAAAAAGAGTTGAACAAAAAAGTTAGTAACAGAACATCAATGAAAACAATCTTCAAACAAAAAAAAAGCCAGTCATTGGTGGTTCCTTTCCAACCTTTTGCTTTTCCATCAATCTAACAGCTTCTATTTTCGAAAATCTCAAGCACCCATTTCGCCAAAAAACACAGAAACACACGCCCATTTTGGCGTGTGAATAGAGAGATTCATTGCTGGTTGTGTTTGGTTCTGAACCCATTGTTGGGTCTCTGGGTTGTTGCAGAAATGGTGGTTGGCTTGGTCTTGAGTTTCACATTGATGCTACAGAGACAGCTTGATCTTGGTTAAGGAAGAAAACCCAGAAAGAGAAGGTGGAGAAAGAAGGTTTTCTAGAGAGAGAAAGTGTGAAGGGGAGAGAGAATGAGCAAAGAACTGGGCGGCATTGTGAAGGCCTGGGAAGTAACTGTACGTAAATCACAAGCAGTTGCAAAGAAAAGGTCTAATAGCATTTTCCCCACAATGTCAGTGGCTCATGTGGACGACGACGTTTGCGACGCGATTCCTGGCGAAGTCTATCATGCCGAGAAGGTGTTCGACAACGGGGACTGGTACACAGGTCAGTGGGCTGATAATTGCCCCAATGGCCATGGAAAATACTTGTGGGCAGATGGTTGTATGTATGTTGGTGATTGGCAAAGAGGGAAGACCAATGGTAAAGGTAAATTCAGCTGGCCTTCTGGTGCCACCTATGAAGGCCAATTCAAGAATGGGTATATGGATGGTGAAGGGACTTATACGGGGTCTTCCAATGATACTTACAGAGGGTATTGGGTAGTGAATATGAAACATGGGAAAGGGGTTAAGAATTATGCCAATGGGGATCACTATGAAGGCGAATGGCGCCACGGTTTGCAAAATGGACAAGGGAGGTACCAATGGAATGATGGTAATCAGTATATTGGGAGATGGAAGAATGGGAAGATGAATGGCAATGGAACATTGATTTGGGGTAATGGGAATAGATATGATGGGTGTTGGGAGGATGGATTGCCTAAAGGAAATGGTACATATAGATGGCCAGATGGGAGTTTTTATGTGGGTGTTTGGAGTAAGGACCCAAGAGAGCAGAGTGGGACTTATTACCCTTCAAGTTCACAGATGGGTCATTTTGATTGGGATCCTCAGGAGGTCTTTCTGATTGATTTGAGTGATTGTAAGGTTTGTCCTGGTGAGAAGATCTCGATATTTCCTTCACAGAAGATGGTTAATTGGACTAATATTGAAGGGGAGATGTTGCAGAAGCAGCCAATATGGAAGAATTCAAAAGGGAGTGGTGCGAGGCCAAGGAGAATGTCAGTTGATGGGAGGCTTAGCAATGATGATGCATATAGTTGGGGCTCTGATGCTGATGTTGGTTCCGATGACATTGGTTCACATTCACTGGGAGGAAGAGAAGACGTTGGTTTGGGGAATCCCCAGCTTGATGATGTGGAAACAGCAAGAGGGATACCAATTAGAATACGGGCGATGAAAAGACAGGGGGAGACGATATCAAAAGGTCATAGAAATTATGAGCTCATGCTCAATCTGCAGCTTGGAATAAGGTAATAAGAGTGGAACAAAGATAGTTTGTTACCGATTTTTTTCATCATTGTTCTGCTATAGTTCAGAAACATGGTCGTAGAAATGTTTCATACATGCTTGTGGCATTATACATTCATATAGATTTGGTTTCCTAGTGAAATTACTGCTCATGTTCAATCTGCAGCTTGGAATAAGGTAATACTTGGACTATTATACTATGTTTTATTTTTGCCATAAATGTTCTGCTGTAGTACAGAAGCATGGTCATAGAATTTGGTGTCATTCATGTTTGTGGCTTTTATATATTCATACAGATTTGGTTTCCTAATGTAACTAGATATTGCATGGGTTACGTGAACGTAAATCGAGGGATTCTAGTGTCAAATTTTCTTCAATTGATTTGTTTCAATAGTCTAAAGTTTAAGTAATCTTCTATATAGTTTAGACAAATCAAATGGATTTTAGACACCACCAAAGATATTTGTGTATAATCTTGTTCCACTGATAGTGAATGAATGCTTTTAAATCTGTAGATAAATTTCTCACAAAAACAGAATCTTCTATAAATTCAATTACATAACTTCTGTTACATTTTTGTGTTTCTGTGATCATAGATGATTTTTGGGGGTGTGGGTGGTGCCTAGGGGACCATTACCCCTCCCAAAATTTCAAAATATTTTCTTGTTTGATGTATTTTACAAAATATCCCTATGATACCTAAATGTTGGTCCCCTCAGTTTTTTTCTGTAAATTCTATTGAGGGCTCAAAATTTTCATTTCGAAGTTTTAATCTACCTATAGCAACACTTGTTTTCTTTGGTCAAATTGGTGATAATGGGTAATTAAGTTAAAAATATCGTTCCTAGTGCACAAGCGTCCCACTATAACAGGCGTTTTGCAGAGCTAATTGATAGGCAACCTTACCCCATTTTGGGTCCAAGTAATCTGGTTAAAAAATTTGATACAAGTAATCTGGTTAAAAAATTTGTTTATCAAGAAGGAAGTTCCTGTTTGTCTTTTGTAGAGCTCTTAAGTGATATAAATACTACGTGGTGCTTGGTCTCCAGCTAGGATGGCTTTAGTGAATGCTTCCATTTCTCTGTCTCTCTCCCTACTCAGACCTGGATCATGTTTGCAGTCAATATGATGATATTTTCACATCTTTATCTGTATATGTTAGTCTTTCCATATGCAACTAATCTAAGGGTGCCACTAAACAGACATGCTGTAGGAAGGCCCGCTCCAGCAACATCACTTGATTTGAGGGCTAATGCTTTTGATACCAAGGAAAAATTATGGACCAGATTTCCTCCAGAGGGATCCAAACACACACCACCTCATCAATCATGTGATTTCAAATGGAAGGATTACTGTCCCTTGGTTTTCAGGTCAGGTTTGGGACACTTCATTTTCCATGAGATCAACTCATATGGGTGTTTATGTGGATGTGTTTGTTCTTACAATAAGAGTTTTTTGTTTTCTGGATGTTGTGCCTAAAATAAGAATCAAGTCAACCTCTATTTTGATGGTATGCCTGTGCCACCGAGCTGCAAGGACACTCGCCTTTTGGCCATCTTTGAACATAAGTAATTCTATTGTTAGTCGAGTTCTGCCATTATCAAAGTACATTATAGAACTCCCAAATCTATTTTGCACTCCTGCCGTTTCATTTGTTTATTTTTTTCCCACCCACCGGGAGGGGGGGGGGCAGAAATACAGTTAGGAACTGCACATAGCAAATTCCAAAATGTTAATGTTTTTACAAGACACAAATAACTTCCTTCATGTAGCTGCATGAAAGTGATTGTCCATGAGCATTCTTCACTCATTTGATACATCGGGCAAAAACAAATTATTATGGCCTGAGATGATTGATGATAAATTTGTTTTCAGGACTCTTAGGCAATTGTTTAAGGTGGATCCAGCTGATTACATGATATCCATATGTGGGAATGATGCCCTACGGGAACTCTCATCCCCTGGAAAAAGTGGAAGCTTCTTTTACTTGACCAATGATGACAAGTACATGATAAAAACCATGAAGAAGTCAGAAGTAAAAGTAAGTTCGTTTTTTAGTTTGCCTGCATTGATGATGAGTTTTTTGAGATCTGATTCATTTTCTACTCATGCTATTTCAGTCACTGAAAGCAGCTTGCTTAATGTTTGGGAACTCCCAGAATTTTGCCTGATATTGAATTATGGAAATAGTGTCTAATACAGCACCAAAATTTTGAATTTATGATCAATTCAGACAGGACAAATTTTGGTACTAATTCAGTTGATAATATAAATTAATCTGCAGTTGGAACTTAAACGTTAATATGTGCCAAATTTTTTAATGCATTTATATTTCAACACTTCCCCGCAAAATTTTTGACAAGACTTTCATAAGTAATTGCAGAGATATAGATGGCATGTGATACACTATAGCAATCTAATTTTACTCGGTCGATGCCACTGCAGGTTCTCAAAAGGATGCTTCCAGCCTATTACAATCATGTTCGAGCCTTTGAGAACACTCTAGTTACCAAATTTTTTGGTCTTCACTGTGTCAAGTTGACTGGGTCTGCCCAAAAGAAAGTAATATTGGAATTTCTGAAAAAATCACATTATAAATTTTAAGTTTATGTCAATGTTGTGAACTTTGAAATCCATGTCTGTGCTTATATCTTTGAATTTACGAGCAGGTGCGGTTTGTCATAATAGGGAACTTGTTTTGTACCGAATGTGCAATTCACAGAAGATTTGACTTGAAAGGTTCTTCCCATGGTCGAACCACTGATAAACCTGAATCTGAAATTGATGCAACAACTACCCTCAAGGACTTGGACCTCAATTTTGTCTTCAGATTACCAAAGGTTTGGTTCCAAGAATATTGCAGGTGATTTGCTTTCTTGAACATTTTGTATTCCCTTTTCTTTTGGACCATTCCTTGAAGAGTGAGTGTGTCTGTGCTGGCTTTCCAAACATTAGAAAATAAGTATGAGGTTGTACAAAGAGTAAAAGATCATTAGATCAAGTTTTCGAGCAATTATCTCAAAGGTATACTTCAAAGAGATCGAAGATGAGTTAGAGCCAATTCCTGCTTCTCCGTCCATATTTTTGCTCAAATTTCTATGGAACATAATCATTTACATTTTTATAAAATTGAATCTACAACTCTAATGCCAGTGACATATATGCTAAGTTAAATCAATTGACTGTACAAGTACATGAATTAAAAACTGATTAATGAGTTAAGTTAGTTGTTATTTGGTGAGTGAGTTGATCTAGTGTATAAATCTAAACTAGGGGATACACATGGGTAGTAAATGGCACAGCATGCTCTTGCAGAGTTTTTCTTCACACATAAAGAAATTCACTCTGTCACTTTATGCTTCCAAATACTATCGTAAACTGCAGATTATAGTGGAGTTAGGAATTGTTGCTAATATGCACTTTAATATTTCCTCTTTTATGGTAAGTTGAAGTGTTCCTCCATGCAGGCAAGTGGACAGAGACTGTGACTTTCTTGAACAGGAGAGAATCATGGATTACAGTCTTTTGCTTGGTGTTCATTTTCGAGAAACCTCGGACAATAGTGAAACAATCACGACTGAGGCTCGTTCATCTGGAGTTCGTACTCCTACTGGTTTATCTCTAACCTTTCTTGAATTACTCTCTCTCTTTACAATATTATTTGCCGAAAAGATGAAATATGTTTTAAGCTTCACTTTCAGGGACTGGTGACACAAATAATGAAGGAGCAGCTCCTAGACTTTCGAGAGCTAACATGGATCTTCTTTCTGATCCTACACGGTAAAATATAATTACGAAGACTCTTGTTTATAGAACTCAGAACATTCCAAAACAACTAAATTCACCAGGAAAAAAAAGATATGTTTTGCAGTACATGTTAGATACCTGTTAATGGCTCAAGAAGTATTAATCTACATTTCAAGTTTCGACAAACTGTTGAATTCCTGAATGAAGAAAATACTCGTTCTGTCTGCCTTGGATTGTTTTTCCTTGAGTTCATCCGGCAGCCCATTCACAGAGCACCTACAAAATTGTTGCTGAAGCTTGATTCTCAATGTGATATTGATTTGTTTTTGAGTACATCTTCTCAGCAAACAAAAGGAAAAGAGAAAAAAAAATCTCTACTATAAAGCTCCTAAGTAGATTGTTGGGGCAGAAAATTCCAGCAAGTATCGCCAAGGACAGAACCAGGATTCTATCTTGAGGGGGGCCAAACAATAGTATATTTAATAATTTTATTCAACTAGATAAGTTTTTAGCTATACAAAACCTACTAAAAATTAACTTTTATCTAATACCATTGTAAAATTCAGTTTGGGTCGTATGACCCAAAAATCAGTTCTTACCATCATAAAACTTAGTTTGTGACAATGTCATGATCCACTTATTCTCTTGTTATGATATGATGCAATGACTGAATAAATTGTCCTAAAAATATTTGTTTCATGCAATACCATCATCAAAGTAAGTTGTGAATAAAGCATTACTTTTGATATAAGCAAAATATTTAGTCTGATTTTACAAAAAATGCACACTTTTTTTAATTTTCTTTGGTCACCGTACTCATACATGTGATTGCATCTTCATAAGACTATTAGATAACAATTAATTGGTCTTTTTGTATTCACTAAGTGACTAGGCTATATATATAATGCTTTTTTAAACTTGAGGAAAAACATGGGATTTTTCAAAACGAGGGTTATAGACATTTTCATAAAGTGATAAGGCCCCTTCTTGGTTCCGTCAATGAGTATCGCTGTGCTTATGCAAGAATTATCCAAATTCACTTGTAGCCTTGGTAGTAATTGATATGTTTTCATGTTTCTCACTATTTATCAATTGAAATTTGCAGGTGGGCTTCCATTAGACTAGGTGTGGACATGCCAGCACGGGCTGAGCGAACAGTGAGAACAAACGATTGTGAGTCTCAGTTAGTTGGAGAACTAACAGGAGAGTGTTATGATGTCATCCTTTTCTTTGGCATAATCGATATACTACAGGATTATGACATTAGCAAGAAGCTTGAACATGCTTATAAATCGATACAATATGATCCAACCTCAATCTCTGCTGTTGATCCCAAGCAGTATTCCAAACGTTTTCGTGATTTCATATTCAGAGCTTTTGCTGAAGACACTTGAAGTTACAGATAGGCTCAAGTTTTCCACTTGCAGCTAGTAGCCATTCATGTGGAGCAGATCTCTGGTGGAGACAACTGTGTTCACTCAGTGAGAAGTCACAATTTGGCTATATGATGAGGCTGTTGAAGGATGAACCGTGGCTGCCAGTGTTACACAATTGTGGTATTTTGGCATTGACATCTCTGTTTTATTTATCAGCACAGGCATATGATATGTTTCACCAAAAGGTACACTACACTCTTGTAGTTTGAGCTACTCAAGCCTGTTCCAATTGTAAATGAAATATAGCTAAGGGTTAAGCTGAGAGAATTCATTTTGTACCCAAATTTTTTGTCCCTGAAGGTTTAAGAGTCTTTGGGATTTCTGCAGTGAATAAAAATGTACAGAAGGAAACAGAAAACAGAAATGCAATCAACAAAAAAACTCCCCCTCCCCTCTTTTATGAAGTGTTTATTCTACTTGTATGAGTCTATTTGTGATTTCATTTTACCATGAACAAGTGTTGGTGTTCTTGGCTGTTATTTCCCTTAAGTTATTTGACCAAGGATTGACTCGGAGACAACTCAGATGACTCGGCCGAGTCGTGTGAGACTCGGGATAATGGTATCGACTCTGAAGGTATTGTATCAGATATGATTCAGACGGCTCATATCTGTATCGGCTAATACTTTGAACCATGCAAGGGATGGTGAGTCCTTAGCCTGGGAATATTTTCTGGCAGCAGGACCCTATCTTCTTCCCAGTTTATGGGTGCACTCTTTATCTTGTGTGGAGTTTGTAAGTCCATTATTGAGAAGAAATGAAGCATATTAGAATGAGATGTGGAACTAGCAGTTCAGGGAAAATGGTCAGATTTGGATTTCATTATTGCAAATATGATCTTGATTATAAATGATCATTATTCATAACTATTGAATTGATAGTAAATCTTAGTATTTGTTGTGATCTGCAACCAATCTAATAGTTGTGATGAATTAAGTTCGTAAATTATCTTAACAAATTAGATTCAAGTAGCATTACCTTTTTTGAAGCAGATTGGGGAGAGAATTTCTAGGATGCTTGGCCAACCATTGATCGAAAAGCGAACAAATAAATAATTAAAAATTGGGTTAATTAGAGTCGAGGTAGTCATGTGAATGGATTTTATTTGGTGGACCTTATCCACTTATTTATTTACTATTGCACGATTACATATTACATCAGCTAACAATGGTAGAAGATTACTGCCAGTGTAGCCTCACCCTACATCAAAGATCCTATAGAATAGCATAATTTACAGTTCATAATCTCCAAGTATGGATATAATTTTTATTTGATCTCTCAAAGTTTTAAATTTATAATTATATCCTCAAAGTTTGAAATAAGTTTCAATTTAATCCTTATATTTAGATTTATAAACTTGTTTTTGACGAAATAGCTTCATGTGGTGGCCAATACGTCGCTTAGCCAGAAGGACATATTTGATGAAAACAAAAATTTCTTTTTTGCCTAGGATAATTTTTTTTTATTTTGTTTCATTTAATTGTGACACAAAGAAAATCTTTGAGAGAAAATGAAATATTTTTGTTGGACACATATCTATCTTCTCCACCTGAGTAACCAGGCTATTTTGGCAGAATAAATAGGAACGAGCTATAAAATACACGTCCTGAATTTGAATTTTGATAATTTTTAGAGTTAGATCATGAAAAATTTATCTTTCATGAACACCCTAGTCTCAGTATGAATGGTCACCTTTGATCGGATTGAGGAGAGAATTAGTCGAAGTGCGTGTAAACTGCCCTAGACACTCTTGTCGTCGAAAAAAAAAGAAGTGATGTTTCTAATTAGAATTTTAGTGACCAAATCAAAACTAAGTGCATACTTAAGGGTATAAAGTACAAATTGGCACTATTTATTATGAAAAAATCTACATATTTGAATTCCATTCAAACTTGTTTGCTTAAAAAAAACTTCTTTTGATTGTTATCCAATTCTTTGTTATTCAATTCAAACACAAACTTACAAGATCCCGAAAATTCTGAATGATATGATCTGGTCGGATCTATCCAAACTGTCAGTATCTTGTATATCTCTGGGTCCTCAAAAAAACTGTCAAACACTACCAAAAGCCATTCATTAAGAGGCCAATATCGATCCTATGTGTTTAGTTGTATTGGGTTGTGTTCTTCATGGGCTCATTGACAATGGGTGGGGTGGTCGCGGATTCACAGTTTCATGTACTGGCAGTTGATGATAGTGTTATTGACAGAAAACTGATTGAGAGGCTTCTGAAGATCTCTTCCTATCAAGGTATAAAAAATTAATGCTTGCACACACACAAACACACCCATTATGTATATATATACTGTGTATTCTAGAAAAAATAGATCATCATTGGCTTGTTTTGTACTGGATTTACAGATTTCTGATGGTTTTTTTTTTTCTGGATGTTTTTATTTTCTTGAATAACAGTGACTACTGTAGATTCTGGGAATGAGGCTCTCGAGTTTCTGGGTTTGCAAGACGAGGAAAACAAAGATTCAGACCTTCCCTCCGTTTGTACAGCAAATCACAATCATCGAGTATGTTTTTTTATTCTAGTTGCTTCAATCTTCTTCTTCTCTTCTCTCTCTCTCCATATATTGATACTTTTTGGTAACTTTTTTTCCCCAGAAAATTTTCATTAAATATTAAATTTCTTACAAAAAAATTCATATTGGATTATTAGCAATTTAATAAAAGTGATGTATATATGTGATTCAGAAAGTAAATACTACAGTTTTACGTGTCTCTGTCTACATACAATTAAGCTTGGAGAGGAGTAAAACTGAATAAAGTAAAAACAAAAATAACAAAAACAAATGTTACTTTGTTGCCTATGATAATTTTTTGTTTTAAAAAATAAAAAACATAAATAATTTTTATTTTTTTTGTGGTAAAAACTAAAAAAATATAAAATATGATTGATAGTCATTTATATTTAAAAAATTATACAAATAAAAATAAAAAATATTTTTAATATTATACTAAAAATCCACTGCCCAACGCTATTGTAAAACCCACCACCCAACGCCCCTACAAAACCCACATCCCAACAACCAAAAACTCATCACCAACGCCCCTGAAAACCCACAACCCAACCCCCTACAAAAACCAGCACCCAACCCACCATCGAACGCCACCAAAAATAAAACCCACCACCCAACCACAAAAAAAATTAGATAGAGAGAGAGAGGCACAAAGAGGTAGACGCGAAAAAGAGAAAGTGAAAGGAGGTGTTTTTACATTCAAGCAAGATGAAAACTCATTTTTTTGTTGTCTAAGAGGATTAAAGTTAAGATCTCATTAATTTCAATATGAAGCCTGTGTGTTTTATTTTTTTTGGTGTTTATGACAATGTTTTTTTTTTGTATTTTTAATTTTTGACCTTATTTTTAAAACAAAGTTTCTAAAACAAAAAAAAAAAAAACACATCACAAACACATTTTTTTTGAGCAAATATTGAAAAAAGAAACAGAAATAAAAGGCTACCGAACACAACTTTAGTGTAGGTGGGGAGTTAAACTAGAGTCATCACACGTGTTCGATGTCTGTGACACAAAAGAGATTAGTGGAAAAGATGGTTGATATCAAAGAACTCAAACAAGATTAGTGGAAAAGATGGTTAATATGAAAGAACTCAAACAACCTCTTAACGAAGGGACTGTCTTAGACCAGAATGCCAATGGGTCGTTCTGATAGAGTAGTATACTAAAATTTATTTTTTTTAGTGAAACTCGTTTTATTAATTAATAAAAATTTATTCTATTCATTTTATTGAAAATCTATACGTGCAAAATATTTATATTATATTTTATATATGATATGCATGTGTGTCTTTTATTTTATATTGTAGATAATTTGGTGTGTAGAGTTCAGCTTATCCACAGAAGACTAAATTATCAGATCCTTGTATAATATAAGTATATGTTCACAATCGTAGATGAAATTGGATACGCTATCAGTATGATTGTAATGTAATATTCTAACATAGTTTGTCTTGACTATAAGAGATTATTTGATGTCTCGAATTATTACACTAGTACACTTTGTGTATTAAACAGACCCATATTAAGATTATTATATTTTACTGATTTAATAAGATAATGAATACCTCATGATTATTATGATTGCTTATGCTCTTAATCCCTAAATATTTAATTGCCACATGCTTACAATATTTGTCACTTTAATTTATCAAAGAGTGAGATTCATATTGAGTCAATAAACTCAATGAATTTGGAGACGATTTTATTTGTATGGTGGAAATTAAATATTAAAGGAAACCACATCCTAGTATTTACATGAGTTGATGATGTCCTCTTGAAAAAGCTTATAAGTTTTGTCCATGTCAAACCGTGCAGGTGGATTTAATTATCCGACATGACAAATAAGTTGAGTGGTAAGGTCTCAAGGAATAAAAGAAGTCAATTAAATATAATTGTCAGTGTTTTATTTAATTGACGAACATATGTAATTTTAAACGTGGGGAGATTATTAAGTATATAATAATAAAAAGCTTGAATATAATTTTGAGATAAAACTCAAGAGATCAATAATAAGTTTTTAGTGAACTGATTTATTATTAATGGGTTGTAGGATGTTTGTTCTGGGTTGAACATAGAAATCTTAAGCCCATTGGGAGTCCGGTCCTTATTTCTCCTTAGGGTCTTTGTCGTAGCCTATATATAGACGTCTAGGTTCTCTATTTCAACATCTAATCTTTACTCACGTTTTTGAGAGAGACTAAAAGAGAGAACAAGGATTCGGAGGTCTTGACAGCCCACACTACACCTGAATTCTAACGTTGGGGGATATACGATAGAAGACCGCAAGGTTTGTCGAGCTGTAGGTGAAATTTGATACCATGTCGTTATGCTCCATTTACCGGGATTCATAACTTAACAAAATTTGGGCAGAGTTTCCTTTGTACGAGGAGCTCTATCAAAATGCAACCTGTACAACATTGACCACACCAAGTCCATTCATCCATACTCAATTGTATAGTATCGGATACTACCATAATTAAGAATAAATGTCTCAAAAGAGTCTTATATACATGCCTTTTTAATATAAAAGAAGTTTTTTTGTTTACAAAACTTATATAAGGCCAAAAGTAAACATAGACAAGGGACTGCAAGGTCAAAATAAGAGTCACAGATTGGCTCTGTCATCAAAACGGGCCCATGGCCTCGCCTTCGGTGGATGCCTGCGCGATACTTGAAAAATGTTCTCATAAAGGATGAGCCAACGCTCAATAGAGTAACTCCTATAGAGAATATCTCTCAACCTAAATATATGTGAAATGTTACATACAATAATCATTTCATGCATTCATTCAAATATGTCTATTATGAACAAATGTCATAAATCATGTCATGCTATGAGATGAGACTCATGCAAGTAATACCAACACCGAGTCTCATCCTAAGTTTCCACAACACATGCAATGTCATGCGTATGTATCCGGACATTTCATTGGTGTTATGTACACACAATGACTAATTAATTTATTTTCTTGTGTATTTGTGGGGAGATGATTTATGATATTACACCAATGGAACACCGACCATCAACGAATTTTCAGGACATTCTACCTGTGGCTCCGTTTTTGTCGTTACACTTTTCTAGAATTACACTGCCAGAAAGTATATAAACCAAGTAGGAACATGCACCTGAGAAAGAATTTAACCCTTTTTACTATCCCCGACATGTTTATCCATTTAATTTTTTGTACAACACAGTCAGACCTTGATACGACTTTCTAGAGCCCACGATCAACCATCTATGCGGTGATTGATTTCATACCATGCACACACTCCCACCCATGTCAATGCCCATGAATTTAATGCAACTCATGCATAATGTAATACAATGTGCAATTGCCTTTGGTGCAATTTACAATATCCATTACATAATGAATGCAATATAATGACATTTTCAACACAATATCAAACATGTTATGTAAGACAATTAATTCAACTAACATACTTGTATTTACCTATACATTTAAACAAACACCTAGATGACACATCTATTTACACAATTAGCATTTTTATTACTTTTAACATGATAACATGTTTATTAATTCTATAAACATAAGCACAAGTCCACCACAGATTATCATATGCTAAATAATTATTTAACATGCATATTATTTCACAATCACATAATAAATCTAATAATTTTATTAAACTTGATATGTCAGTAAAGCATAAAGTAATGTTTATGTACAATTAACATGTTTTAAACCACTAACATTAACTTACATTAAGTTAATCATAATAGGATTTTATTAATTACAAGATTAATTATAAATTCTATATTTGACTCACTAGTTACACTCGTCAAGACCTAACATGTGATATATATAGGGGTGTTAAACGTGTCGGGTTAAACAGATGACGGGTGGAAAATGTAAAAATTCATACACGACACGTTTAGTAAACGGGTAAAAAATCTCAATACGAACACGACCTGTTTAATAAACGGGTAACACGACACGACTAGTTTAACCTATTTAATTTAAAAAAATTATTTTAATAAATTTTAATACTAGACTTTTTTTATTGCCAATTGCACTTACCTCAAAAAACAGGAATTTTTAGCTAAATCTCATATCTCATAAAAAAATAAGAGTTAAAGGCTTAAAAAGAAAAACAAGAGGTCATTGCTTTTTCTAGGTAACTCAACCTTCCTTATCTCCCCTCATTTTTCAATGTGGGACAAAAACAAAAAGTATTGGTTTGCCTTTGTCTTTGAAGTGCTCCACATCTCCTCTCTTTTATCTTTGAATTACTACTTTATTTCTTTTTTCTTATTGATTTCTTTACTTCTTTTTTCTTGCTAATTTTATAAAATAATTATTAATTTATTATTATATTAATAATATTTAAATAGATAAATGTGTGATAAACGGTTTGACACGTCTCACCCAAACACGACTCGTTTATTAAACGTGTTTGGCATGTCAATCCATTTATCATCCATACCCATTAAGATCTCACCCAAATCCGTTTAATTCGTGTCGGTTAATCGTGTCGTGTCAAATTTTGACAGCCCTAGATATACACTCTTGACTTACTCATTTCATATGCCATATTTTAGGTTGAAATTACATCTAAAGAGGAAAAACTCCACCTCTCGTAACGTGAGACCACATACTATAACTCAAAGGAAGCCCAAATTTAACTTTCCAACCCTTAGGTCAATAATAATTTTTTGTTTTGGGTTTTACAATCCTAGGTATGTTTGTTTACCATTTCTGTGGCATGGGAGACGGATTGGCCATGTCACACCATGATTGTCCCCAAATGCTCGTAATACCACTCATGTCATTTTGGATAAGGATCCATTTATCATTTTGTGATAGTATGCTCGTGGTGCCACTCTCGTCTTTTGGACAAGGATCCATTTGTCATTCTGCGGCGCTATGTTCATGGTGCCACTCTCGTCTATTGGACGCAGATTTGTTGGACATTCCCATGAGAGTATGCTCACGGGCCACTCTTGTCTCTCAGACGAGGATCTATGTACCATTTTTAGCCTCAACATGCTCGCAGGTCAGGATCTATTGGACATTCCCATGACAGTATGCTCGCGGGCCACGCTTGTCTCTCATACGAGGATCTATTTACCATTTTCTGCATCAACATGCTCGCATACCACTCTTGCCTTTTTGGACAAGGAATCGTTTTGCTGCTTCCACGGTAATGGGGAAGTGCCCTTCCCTCTGCGGTGCTTGACCCCTTCTACGGTGCTTGGCCCCCTACCAATTGTGGGGTCTTGCTGGGACCCACGTAGCCACGTCAGCTCATGATCCTATGCCATTTGTCCTCTACAGTGTGGACACTTGTCTTGATTGGAAAACAAAAAGAGTATTAAAACAAACTCTATCAAACTGAACCATGGTTTTTTCACTATATATATGTTTCTTTGGTTTCATAAATTATTAGGTTTTGTTTTTAAACTTTTGCCATTGCAGGAGGTGGAAGTGGATTTGATTATTACAGATTACCGTATGCCTGGAATGACGGGCTATGATCTCTTGAGAAAGATTAAGGTTAGTTAATAAAGTTGACACTCCTATACTCAATATTCAATTCAATGATTTAATAATTTTAGTATACTTGAGCAACCAATTTCCTTCCATGTTAAATAATAATTAATAATTGTGTTACTTAGTAATTTATGCATTTGGGAAAAAAAAAATAATTATCAAAGAGGAAAAATATGTGTATTCATCTGTACATACCATATGAAACAAAATTAAAACCTTAATTTTATAGCAATAAACAAGGTTATTAACATAGTTAATAAAAGAAAAAAATTTCTTACAAAATTCGAATAATTTCTTACAAAAATTTTATTGGTTGAAGATACGAGGTCAATTATAAGTAGGTTGGTGAGAAAAAATATATCGACATCTTATCATTTAATGTAATTTTCTTCACCAGTACAATTCATACAGATACATTTGTATGAATTCAAGTAATTGAATTTTAATTAGAAAGGCCAAAATAAATTATGGGGGTGAATTTTGGACAATTTCTACATGGTTTACTTTCAAGAGTGATCTTATTAACTAGAGCTTTTATGTGATATCTATTGCAGGAATGTTCATCTTTAAGAGACATACCAGTTGTAATAATGTCCTCTGAGAACATTCCTTCAAGGATTAACAGGTAATTAAGAAAGAAAACTTACACAACTCTTTAGTAGTTCCTTTAATTCTGTCTACAAAACGACAATTCAATGCACAAAACTTCTGTTATTACACGGGGTTTAGGAAGCGTCATATGTAGTGACACAACTATGTATAAGCCATGCCCCTTCGCATTCTGTCATATATTTCTAAAAACTTTTATTGCTATTTCTTATGTTCTTAAAAAGCTCAATGTATAAGTATTTATTTCACTTAGTGTACTTAAAAGATTGATGACTTCAATTTAATAACCAAATGAGGGATATAATTACATGGATCGATGAGTACTGTTCTTATTGACGAAGACACTTGTTTGGTTGATTCTGATAACTATAGTAACATAAAAAGTAAAGGTTTTTTTTTTGTCCAAAATGGAGTTACAAATGTGACTTATATAAAAAATAATGTATTGGCTTGTGATTCATTTTTACGATAGTATCATGTGAAACTATTATTTATGAGGATAATTTATTTATAACCATAAAGTTATATTTATTATTATATAAGAAAAAAAAGACGGTGATATTGTCACAAACCAAATTTTATTATGGTACAAACCAATTCTTGGGTTTTGTGAATCAAATTAATTTTTATAATGGCATTGTATAAAATTAATTTTAATAGGTTTTTTATAAATTAAAATTTGTTGTCAACTATAATCATTGAATAATTCCGTTAAATAAATTTTTTGTCTATGTCATGATTTTGACTTCCCTCAAGATAAAATTTTAATTCCGTCCCTGATCATATGTATGCAATATTACTCTTTCTTGTTGACAAAAAATTGAGACCGAACTTGGATTGCTTGGTTGATATGATGGATCAGATGCTTGGAACAAGGGGCAGAAGAGTTCTTTCTCAAGCCAGTTCAACAAGCAGATGTGAATAAACTTAGACCACATTTACTGAAGGAAAGGTTAAGGAACAACAAGAGCAAGCTCATTGAAGAATGTCTTGGAAGTCGACCAATAAAGAAAGAAAATTTTCAGTAGTTTAAAGCCAGTCCCTCTTTGTTTTTCTTTCCTTTTTTTTTTTCATAGTTTAAGTTAATGCTTTGAATTATGTACGTTCAACAGACTGATTGATTCATTTATAGAGGAAAGTGTAAACTTTATTTGATTAAAGAGATCAATCAAACCCTAATTCCAAGATCTAGAACAATTTGATTTTCACATACTCATAATATCATAATGTAGAATTTAGAACATCATAATCAAACATATCTGGAGCCATAATCGCAAACCTTGAATTACTTGAACAAGAGTTGAACCATCCTTGGTGTAGTTCGGAAATCGGTTTTTCTCTTTTAACCTTTATCCTTAGGATACACAATTTGATGGGGCATGTGTATATTTATAGGTAGAGAGAGGACCGGTTTCCTAGTTCAACATAAACTCTACTTCTCATCAAAGTAAAATATCAGGAAACCACTTCTTCTCATTGACCAATTAGAAAATACTAGTTATACCGGTTAGATTTGGATTGATAACCTTATTATTATCTAATCCAAATTAATTATCTCATAATAATCATTAAAATCACATGTGCCAAATCAAGTGGGCCACATTAATTCTTACAGAAAGTAGTATCTTCTTTTTCTGTAAATTGACCAAAAAAAAAGAAAAAGAAATCCAATTTTGTTGGGTAATATTTAACTGGTGTATTAAAGGAATTTTCATTCTCTATTGCTAGGATTTTTAAATTATTTTAGACACGTTGCTGGCTTTATTTTTCATTGCTAGGATTTTTAAAGGGGTGTTAACATTACTCTCTTTATATTTTTATTTGTGTCTGGGACCAACTGTCCACAAGAGTGCATAGACGTAATTTTTTTTAACCAACCAAAAAAAAAAGCATAGACATAATTTTTAAGGGTGTTATTAGACTCGTCAATGAAGTGGATAGATCAGCTAATGTGATGCTGTTCTAGCTTAACCAAGTTCTTCGGTTCGAAACTTGGAAAAGTAACTGCGTTGAATTCTCGGTAGGGAGAATTTTGTCACACTTGTGGTCTTGCCCGGCTCGAATCCGGATTAGTCGGAATCCGTTGCGGCAAACAGATACTAGATGATCTAGATCAAAAAAATGAAGCGGATTTTAATTCGAATCCAAGTCAATTTAACTAAATATAGATCAATATTTTAATCTACCTACTCGAATTTGAATAATTTTCTTTAAACAAATTTGGATTTGAATACATGTAAATTCGATTCTATAAAAATTCGATCCGGTATATATAATATATATTAATAATTGAGAGAAATCATTGCACATACACACGTATTTAATTAGATTACAAATGAGATTGACATGAAATTAAACATAAATTATTGAGGTTAAAAGTTAACTTAAATCTGGTAAAATTATTAATTTTTTATAAAATTTTATTAGGATTCAAATGTTCAAATTGAATTGAGTAAACGGATCGTACATCTAATTATTAACGTAAGCAGATATAAATTAAAATTTTAAAATTCGTCGTATAAATAAATCGGATTCAGAACTCATTTAGATCAAGACAGATCTAGATTCAATTCTACGTCGTATCAAGTATCAACACCTTTTTCCTTTGTGTTGTACATTTGGACTTGGACATAGACACACATACGGTCCTTCAAACGCAAATAATTTTTTGAAGGAACATCACAGTCTATCTTCATTACATTTATAGGAATTCGTACGGTACCCTCTTAGTTTTTGAAATTATGATGTACCCCTTTTTTTTTCTTTAATTTTTCTCCCATGAAGTGCCTTTTTGCATGTGTTTTATTTAGTATATTATTATGCGTTTATATTAAATTTTTAATTATTTTATGAGTTAATAAGTTTAATTCAATTCGTTATAATTCAATCAATTATAACCTATTTATTAAGTGGGTTAAAAATAGATTAAATTTGTTTTACATTTCAACCCGATTTAAACCAACCCAACTTGCCGAGTTGTTACCTCTAGATATGGCTATGGTATCTCTCAAAAAAAAAAATTGGTGTTGTAAAAAAAATTAATTTATAGTTGGATTTTTTTGTTTTATTCACCATCATCAAATAAGTGGGTTCCATTAATATTCAATAATAAAAATTTTGCCATATTACTTAAAATGAAAAACTTGGTAAACACAACATTATTGTTTTTCTTATACACTCGAGGCGAGTTTTAGATTCGGAGTTAAGACCCAACCATTGGGAATATGCAAAGTCGGTGTTACGTGCGTGGGCCTAGATTAGTTTAGCCCCGTAGCCCCGAAATCTTAATGCTCAAACCAAACACACTCTAGTGTCATATATATTCACATCAAATTCATAAAATGGAGATTGGCGCGATCTTGGTATGACCGAGTAGTCTCGATTTTTGTAATTTTCAATATATGAATTCTCATATTGGACTTGCTTATCTTGTTCCACATTCCTACAATTTGGAAAGGACAAGAAGGGCCCTCTTTCAAGAATTTAGATACTCAAAGAGAAAATTTGATATAGATCGAATCGCACCACAATATTTGGATCGTTAGGATAGATATCGAGATAGAACGAATTGACTTTTTTAGAGCCATTTCTACATACGTGAATTTCTAAACACTCATGTCCAGTTAGGAATGACGAGACAAAATGATCCCATCGTACCCCTAATAAGGGATGCGATGACCCTGAATGGATTTTGGATAATTTCCTTTATTTAAAAATTGAAAAATGCATTTTATCCATTTGGTAATATTTTGTAGTTGAATAACTTCAATGCCTTAAGTCAGAATTGATCGCTGTTTATTTTGACTTAATCTTGGTGATTCATAGTTTTTAGCAGTATAATTAGTTTGAAAATTTTCTTTTTTGGAAAAATCTGTATTAATGATCTAATTACGTGATTAACGATAGTTCAGTTATGTTTGATTATTTTCTAATTAGTTTTATGGTTTTAATACCATTTAAACTCTTGTAAGTGACTAAGCAGCTTTTGATTATTCAATACAATTGAGAAAATTTCTCTTTTATTCTTAATTCTTCTAAAATCAACAGAGTTATTGAAGCCTTTATAACTAATATTCTATGTGAATCAACATGTATAAAGTAAGAAAATAAACCGGTATTTATGAATAAATCAACAGTTTATTTTCATTATTCATTTTTGATCATTTTTTTTACCCGCTTGCCTGCATCAGAAGCCCGACAAGATGACAAGCCCCTAGGGACATTAACATTACATAAATTTTTATTTAACTAAGCAGCAATATTTAACAGACGCAATAGGCATACAAGAATAGTTTAATAACCATTCTAACTCTTGATATCACTCACTAGACGTGTCTTCCAGAGTCTCAAAAACTATGCATCTGCGAAACCCGGAAAATTCACCTCTTTCTCAGCATCATCCCATTCAAGCTTCTTGTAAACAAAACCCTTTGCAACCCAGACATAAGCACACAAATTCAGAGCACTCAACCCTGCCAAAACCCAATAAAAGTCATCAAGATGTGCACCATTAAGATTATCACTCAGCCATTCATGCCCCAATCTTGAGCTAATGGCCTGCACAGCTGCTATAACACCAGTGCTCATGAAGCTCCCGACCCCGATTGCGCTAAGGTACGCTGCTGCACCCATGCTTCTCATCTCCTCAGGCATTTGATCATAAAACAGTTCCTGCATTCCCACAATTGTGAACACATCAGACAGCCCACACAGCATATATTGTGGTAGTAGCCACCACACACTCATAGGGACAGTCGATTTTGGCGAATCCTCGAGCCCATGGGCCTGTGCAATTCCGACCCTTTTTGCCTCTACTAGTGCTGATACAACCATGGCCAGTACTGAGAAAAAAAATCCAATGCCCATTCTTTGTAACATTGTTATGCCAGAAGGGTGTTTGGTGATGGTTTGGGCTAGGGGGACGAGTACTCGATCATAAATTAGAACCGAGACCAGTATAGTGAGGCCAGTGAACACTTGGAGTGACGCCGCGGGGAAGTGGAAGTTGTGCCCGATTGACCTGACCATTGTGCTGCCTTGTTTGGTGAAATATGTGCTTTGTTGGGCTATCACAACTGTAAACATTAAGCAACTTAACCATATGGGGATTAGGCGGATAAGAAGCTTCACTTCCTCAACTTGATTCACAGAGCTGAGCCTCCATGGATTTCTCTTCTTGGTTGATGCATCGATATCATCGATAATCATCGCTTTGTCCAAAATTCTGAAGATTTCAAGTTTACGAGATTAAACATAGAAGTTACAACCCACAAATAAGAAATAAAATTGATATTGTATTAGTGAGTTTATGTTTAATTTTGAGTTTATGAGATCAAACACTAAACTTTTTTTTTTTTGCAAGCTAGAGAGAAACTACACCAAAAGCTGTAACATATGTTAAAAGTTATACAAGCTTGATTTTAGTTCAAGAAGAGTGCTCTTTTTCTAGAATAGTTGCTATTGGCACGGGAACAGAACATTCTAATAGTTCAGTGTAAACTAAAGATTGACAAATTATGGGGGTCCATGGGCAGACCAATAGCTCCAAGGTTAGGGCCAAGGGCCATTTTTCAGCCTACTAGGTCTATCCTATTGGGCTATAAATGATAATGGCCCTAATTTTTTTGAGTGAGATTAACCTGGCCCACTAACTAGTTAAAAGCCGACGGTCTAGGCTGTGACCCACCCTGGACCATTGACTGTGATATGCAGATAGGCCCAACGCAATCCATTTGCGACCCTAGTGAAAACTCGGTAGCTCATATATGACTCCCTGTTTGTTTATATAAAAGATGAATTACATCCGCAACGAGATTTGTCGATTAATTATTCAGACTCTTTAATATTTGAAATATTATATACATACCTCTTAAAATTTGTACATGCATAACATTTAGATACCCCTGCTATAAATATATCCGTTAATAAATTACACCTAAATCCCCAGAAGTTTGTAAACATAAATTATTTAGTCCCCTTAAGTTTAAAATGTTATACTTAAGCCAGAAATACTTCAATTAAAAATAGAATATCAAATATTTTAAATTTTACAATTAAAATACATGTTCTATTATATAATTTATTAGAATAAAATCAAAAATAAAAGATCAATTTTTTCTTAAAAAATCGTAATTAGTATACAATTATATTGTCTATTAGAATTTAATTTGGTCGTTTAAACAACCAAATTAAAATATGAAACTACTCCGATTAAAACTAAAAGATATTATATTCATTGCAGTTTGACCCCTTATTTAATTGTTTTAGTTTTATTTTAATAGATAGTATAATTGTATACTAACTATGATTTTTTTTTTAAACTGGATTTTTATTTTTGATTTTATTTTAATAAATGACATAATAGAACATGAATTTGTTCTATTATGAATGGCTTGTACCACTTGTTTGATTATTTAGTTTTATTCCAATAGATAGTATACTAATTCCGATTTTTAAGAAAAAAATTGAATTTTTATTTTTGATTTTATTTCAATAAATCTAACAGAACATGAATTTTAGTTGTAAAATTTAAAATACTTAATAATCTATCTTTGATTAAATATTTTTAGTCTAAGTATAATATTTTAAACTTAAGGGATCTAAATATTATATGTCTACAAACTTTAAGGTGTGTAGGTATAATTTATTAACTGATATATTTACAGCAGGGGTCTAAGAAATCAACTTTCATACATAACAGAGGAGAAAACACTCGTTGATGAGGGAAGAGAAATTCAAAAGTGGAAACAATAAAACTGCAAAAGAGTGGGACATAAGAAATCAAGCCTTAGTTTTTTAATAAGGATTGACACTTATATCCCTTGACTAAAGAAAATTTGAGAGAATTAAAGATGACCAATTAAATTCGGCTCAATAGCGTTACGAAATACCGAATCTATCAAAGTCCTCCATATCCATGCTATTCAAAATTCCAGATAGTTGGCTCTTTAATGGCGTCACAGGCCACTTTACACACACACACACATGTATATCATTTTGGTGTAGAGCAAAAGGTCTAAGGTTGAATGGTTATCCACATTTTAGGTGAAAAAGGTAAGTAATGGACCATCCATTAAAGATAAGTGTGACACAAACTTTTCTTTTTGACAATTGCTTGTGCCGACACACAACAAACTGTTTTATGCAAAAATAAAAAGTTTTAAACCATAGCTCTATCTATCCATTGGACTCTGCCCCCAAAAGTCTAACTCTTACCGAGTATTATTGGTCAGTAAAGCAGTGGCGATTCCTCCAATTAACCAACTGTTTTTTTATTACCACCAACTTTCGTGACTTAGTGGGATAAGACCATATTGTCAACAATAGTGAATGTTCTACCTTTAATTGAGTTGATGAAGAGATTAATCGAGATACGTGTAAGATGATTCGAATATTTCAGATCATTCAACCAAAATATATATTTTGATATAATAACAAAAAATGAATTCGCGTCGTAAATCTATGTTTCATCTATATTTAGTCATTGATTGCAAAAATAATAAAGTAGAGTGAAATCGTTAAAAAAAAGAAGAGATATTTTATATGTTCACAATTTCATTGGATTAAAAGAGGAGATACATTAAAAAAATAATAATTTCTTAGTACTATATTTGAAGGCGACAGAGTTATTTCAATCTACATCTCCCACGTGGGTGGAAAGAATTTAGTCCCCATCTAGGTCTATGGAATTCTTTGTCAATTAGATTAACTTATCCTTTTTTATAGGTTTCAAACATTTATCTTTAAATGAACATAAGAGTTGTTTGAGCACGTCTAGCATAAGTGTTTTTTTTGGTTCAATAATTTGAGGTGTTCAATTCTGTTTACGTCCATTTTGATTAATTCTTTTCCTAGTCCGATCAAAGACAAATCATTCATGTCTGGACTATAGGGTATTCATGAGAAATAAATCTCTCAGAATCTGATCTTGAAACGTTGTCAAAATTTAAATTCAGGATATTTAATTTTGCAACTCATCCTTATTGTCTAGCATAAGTTTTACATCTACATGTTCGATACTACATTTCAATTCTATCTTTATAAGAGGAACATCGGCTCTAACAATTTGGTCGTTTTAACTATATTTAGTATTTTATTGTTAGCTGGCTTCTAGACGCGATAGACTGGGCGCTGAACCCACATTTTAGATTGGTAGATCCATGATCCGTTGGGTCATAAAATCGGGTCATGGGCACAACTGGTGCTAAAAAGTGGTGATTTTGACATGACACATACCTAAAACAATTTGTACGACCTAACGTTTAAACCCCACCCAAAAACCCTACTTGGCTGCCGACTACGACCTGTTTCTTACTGCGTCACAATGACCATTAAAAAAGAAAAGAAAGCAAAATGATTGTAACTTGAAGTCATACACATATTCATTGTCACAAATACTATACTTTACTCAACCAATAAATTCAAGAAGAGGTGATGATTTTTGACATAATTTGTCAAAAGACATGAATTCGATATATAATAATAAGTTAGATTTAATTATTTTTCGACACAACCTATCACAGTTTTGAATCAACATAAAAATAATAAATTAGATTTAACTATTTTATGATAGAAACTCAAAAATAATATAACCTACTAAAATAAATAATAAATAGTTAAATTTAATATTTAATAAATAGTTTGATTTTGACATGACAAGCCTATTTACTATTATAGACGTGACACATTATAGAGGTGACAATTGTGTTGTGTCGAGTTTTGTTTTGGGTTGATCGAGTTTGGTTTTGGGTTGATGTCAAGTACTAGATAACTTTAATCTAATCTGTTTAACTAATCATGTCATGCGTGTCCATCTATTTATTTTCCTGTCGTGTTTATGTTGACCCATATAATTATCACTTAATCAAATCTATGCTCATGCTTTTTTAATAAATTAAAAATTAATTTAATAAATATAATAAGAAAAATAAATAATAATATCTTTTTTTTGTACCAGCATTATGCTATTACTTGATAAAATATAATAAAAAATTAACATTTTATTCTTATAATACTATTTAAACGTATTAATCATATTAATTTTTTATTATTCGTGTTTGACACTAACCCAGTTCATTTATTATTTATGTTAACAGGTTGTGTCATATATGAGTTTACGTCGAAGGGTCAATCCTAACTCACTAATTTCGTATTAATTTCAAGTCTTATTTTCGTATTATGGTATAAATTTTCACCCCTAATTACTAATATTATATGAAATGTATGATTAATTTTTAAATTTTGTAATAAAATATTGTATAAATCAATATATTGTATGGAATTAAAATGATGGTTTTTACTAGCATAAAGTATCAAGTGGATTGTTCAAGTTGTTACAAAGGGGGTGGTATGTTTAGTTAAGTGAAAAAAAGGAATTCTGGTGTTGGATTTTTGTTTTACGGATTATTCATGTATAATCTGAATACAACACAATTAATAAGTAGGTGGGGTTAGTATTATTACACCTAACACGATTAATCAAATGACTTAAAAAAGAAAATTAATAAATATTTAATATTAATTTAAAACGACACGATTTAAATATCATTACCTGAATTGACTAGTACGTGCCAAAGTCCGGACCCTGGCTCGACCATCCACTCCAATCTCTATACTCTCATCTTCATAACAAATGCCATGACCACCATTCGCCTCCGACAAGCGCCACTTCCTTGTGGCGGCAACCACCACTTGCGCCACCCTAGTAAAAGGGCTCCCAACCGGCGCTTGTTTTCGATATGTTCCAATACCCAACAAAAATATTGCAAGAGCAATAGCCACAGCAACTGCCGGCATTCCGAATCCAACAGCCCACCCCACATAGTCCTGTACATAGATCACCACCAGCACCGCCGCTGTGGCGCCGCACACGATCCCCAAGTACCACCAGTTGAAAAATGAACTCTTGGCCGCCTTTTCCTCGGGAAAATTCTCGTCAAATTGATCTGCGGCAAAAGTTTGGACACATGGCTTGTGCCCACCTTCGCCAACTGTCAATATGTAAAGTGCTACAAAGAAAAATGCTCTGCTGTGTTCTATTGGAGTTGATGATACTGATACAGTCAGCAGAATTAGACCCTGTGAATTTAGCAGGAATCCATGATTAGAGAAGCATTCTAATTCTAAAAACTTCGTAATACAACCAAAAAATAGAAGTTAACGTTTGACCTAATGATTATCATTATAATTTTTAAATTTTAAAATCTTAGATTCGAATCGCATCGCCACCCTTATAATAATAATAATGTTTTAATATTGTCTAAAAAAAACATTATATAAACAGGTAAGACTACCATAATTTTTGTACCGAATTTACAATTTTCAAAAATCAATTGACATTTTAAAAAAAAAAAAATTAAATGTCTAGGATGCAAAAAATTCGAATAACTTAACTCATTAGTACTAAAGGTCTTACTTATTCTATCTTTTTGGGTTAACTTACCCATATTTTAATTAATTTTTTCTTCAATTTGATAAAAAATAGATTATTTATGTCGAGATTAGGATATTTATGAACTAGTCCCAAGAAATTGCTAAGATTAAAATTTAAGATATATAATTTTGCAGTTCATCTTTATTATCCCTTGAACTATTCTTTATGGTTACCTATTTATAGCAGAGGTTTGATAATTTATCACGTCGGGTGTCTTTCCATATGGATAAGTCTATGGTACCAAGAAGTCTGGTGTTACATAGTACATAGTTTGTAATCATAGATCTTGATTTGATCATTTATATAAATTAATTGTAAAAATAATATAATAAGATAACTTTACTTGTATCACATTTATTAAATTAAGTAAAAGCATAATATCAAAAAATAAATTTTGGATCGCTATCTCTCTCTAATCTACACGTGCAGAGTCCGATTAAGAAAATATTATTTAGATCTAATTTGATAACCTAATTTAACAACTTAGTAATGTATAATCATTGAATTGGTTATAGACTTTATCTAACTATAGAACTCACAACTAATCTTTCTTACATTAAAACTAGGTCCCTAAATTAGATCTATCACTTTCGATATTATACATTCACTTTTCATTCAATAAAAACACGTCGCTGTATCCGCACGCTAGCCTTTTATGTATATATATATATAACTCTATAATGTATGGACAAAATGGCTTACTCAGACTCGAGGTTTGATGGTTTATGAGTTATTCTCCCCGTTCTGGTCGTTTAAAATTTTTGTACAGGGATTAAAGAAACTATTAAATAGCTGTAATATGAATAAAAAATAATTATATAAAACTAAAATACTCTTATTCCATATGTATTGGGAAGAAAAAAATATGAAAGATATTTAGTCTTAACCTAATTTAATGCACAGAAAAATTAAAGATAAATTTAAAAAAAAAATATTAATTATATTTTAATTTTATAACACGACAAATATTATAAAATAAAAAAAATTATGTAAAACACGTATATATTTAGAAACGGAGAAATTATATTCGTGTATGAGTTCATAATATGTGGACAGAATGGCTTTGTTCTTACGAGAGGTTTGAAAGTTTATTACGTCTCTATCTCTATCTCTCTCTCACCTATCACTGGAAAGAAGAAAGGAAGATTGAGATTGAAATAGAGTCAAAATGAAAGGAAAAAGGTGAAGAAAGTGAACCCACGATGAGAATATGATGGAGGAAATAAGGATGGTATTGAATCGACCCAAGTAAGAATCAGCAACAAAAGCACCAATCAGTGGAAAGAGTGCAGAGACGCCATGCCATGTATTCACATTCTTCGCAGCCGTAGCAGTTGGTTCGCCCAAGAACATTAGTCAGGTAGGTGATGAGATTCCCCGAGACTCCATAGTAGGCGAATCTCTCAGCCACTTCCACAACTGCATGAATAAATAGTTAATACTTTACTTTTAGAGAGAGAGAGAGAGAGAGATAGAAGGGAAGCTTACAGATAATGAAAATGGCGGATTTCCAGGGACCCTTGGAAGGTTGTGTTTTGACAGAGGTGTTCTGATGATCATCACCATTGACTGGGGCTACAGTGTTATCCATTGGAGCTTGATGGAAGAATCTTGAAGAGAAGAGAAGAGACTAAATGAAACTTGAGAAAATTGAGTGGTTTTTGCCTCTATATATAGAGAGGATTTACCGTCTACTTCTCTTTATAGTCAGTGTTGTAGATTCCTTAATGGTACTCCCACATTTCTAGGCTTAGGCTATAGAACCATGGTTGGTCACAGCCCACTTGGTAAGATTTCAGTTGACGTTTACTTTGTGTGGGCATTTATTGGCAATAATGCTATTTCGTCTCAATTTGCAGCCTTAATCCATTATAAAATTTTGAGTATCTATTGGATGTAACAGCGAGACAACGTTATCCATGTAATATATATAAGGGTAATTTGTGTTTAAAGATATGATATAATGTAAATAATTTTAAAAATGATATTAGTAATTATTAGATGGTTTTATTAAAATATGTCATTATTTTATATTGTAGATAACTATTCCATGTATACAAGTGAGATTTATTTTATCTATTTGATCATTTATTATTAGATATGATATCGCGTACGATGATATAGTGATGTGCACCGTCACATCTAATATTTACTCAATTACGAGCCCCCATAAATACTAGGGTTCATTATCAATTTATTCTCATTATCAATGATTAAATAAATAAATAAATTTAAATAATATTTGTTCTTTTGTA